CTCAAAATAAATTCAATACATAACACTTATATGTAGTATAATGACATAGAGTTCGTATCCAGAGGAAAAAGAATAACTTTTTCAATGAACTAGTAGTAAAAGGGGTTTTTTGGGATTGTGTGATTTAATTTAATTTAGCACTAAGATGAACGACTTATATGTGTTTTAATTCAAAACATAAAGAACTTGGCTTTGCTACTTTCCACTTGTTGATATGTTTGGTCGATCCCGGTTATATCTTTAACTTAGCCCCTCACAAATACTCAATCGAGGAGTATCTCCAATTCATCGAGGGTAGTTATTAATAACGACCGTTCATTAAAGTAACAACTCTTACTATTAATCAAATATAGAACAACGTCGTATACCGATTTAATATTAGCATTTAATCTTTTTAACTCTGTGATGAAATCAACTGAGATTGATAACCTCAACACAACGGTTTCGGTTTAACCAACATAATTAATCCTTCTTATGTTTATTAACCATGACCGTGCATTAATAAACCGAAGTTACAAAAAATTTACGGGATTGACACAGAATTTGACACAAATTTACTGATTTTTCGTGCCAAATAGCTCATGCCAAAGTGTTTTTGGCACAGATTTGGCATATCTCTGCCAAATACTTCTTTATTTTGTTTCAAATCCCTGTTAGTCCCATTTTTTTGTAGTGTTATGAAACTATCAACGATTAACCATCGGTTCGTTGATCATTACTAGTAATAATTAATGTCGAAGCATTAACTAATCGCCACTTAGTAACACCCCAACATTAATTAAGGGAAGAATTAATATTCAAGAGAAGAAGTTAAGAAAATAACTCACAACTTTAACATTCAACAAGTTTCATGAGCAAAACCAAGAAATGGAAGTTTAGTTCCTCATCTGGAGACTAAACATGCTAGAAAAAATACAAAGAAAAAACTATTCTAAACTGAGGTTAAGAGTATGAAAAAAGGAATATCAAAATGGGAAGGAAAAGATGTGAATATATAGATGTTTTGGTGTGGTTGGGTCTGATACCCGACCGGGTATAGAGGATACCTAACCGGGTATGTCAATATACCCGATCGGGTATATGACCAAATCTGATTTCCCCACGTTTTCTTGCTTTATTTGATCTTGTAAATCTCCGGGTCAACTCATATATGATCGGGTATGACATAAAATCACATTTTTTGCATGATTTCTTGCTCCCTTGCACCTTCCTTTGATATTGTAAGATCCCTTCCATTATCCTCTGTTGATCCTTGATTGATTCTTGCTCAGGATGATTCTAAATTTACTAAGTTACAACAAACTAGAAAAATAAAATGATTGCACCGCAAATGTGCAATTACCAAAATAGCACACCGTAAAAACTAATTAAAAGTAAAAATATAAACACTCAAAAATCAATGCAATCAACTCCCCCCACTTGGTCTTTTACTCGTCCTCGAGTAAAATCCATAAAGTTCTTCACCATCCAAAGAGATTCAACAAGATAAAAGAAAAACAAAAATGATTTCATTTTCAGTTTAAATTCATCCCCACTATAGAAACTTATTGCTTCTCCCTCCAGCTGCTTGCTAGGGTGAAAATGAAATCCTGCAAAAATAATTCCTTCTCTCATTTCTCTCCTTTTGTCTAGAAGCCTTTTCAGGTTTTGATCCTAGCCTATCATTTTTTTTTCGACTCACTCATTTTTTTTGCTATTGTTGCTTAGGTTGCTCGTTATGGTTTTCAACTTAACTAGCATTTCTTCTTTTTATTATTTTTCTTGCTTTTGTTTTTTTTACTTTATATATATATATATATATTTTATAAATATGAAATTACAATGTAGAAGAAATGTCATATGTAAAAACAAGAGTCTTCTCCACCCTTGCTAAACCTAGCATGTCCCTAGTGCTCATCATTGCCATTGCTTGGAGTTGTCCCCCCCCCCCCCCCCCCCCCCCCCCTTAAAGATTGTTCGGGATTTTGGAGAGGGAGTGTGAGAGTTCCAAGAGTTTGTGGAGCAAGAGGAAAGTGATGCGAGCAAGATTATGATATTTTTTGTGGTGTTTGGTGGATGATTTGGATAAATCTTTGAAGAAAGAAATATATGGTTATGTGGTTTGACGTGATTGGGAGGAATTGTATGGTATTTTGGAAGATTAAAGACGAAAAGAGGTGAAGAGAGGGTTGCTAGGAAAAAATTAAACAAACAATCACGTATCTCGCTTGAGTTGCCTCCCAAGAAGCGTCTTATTTAACGTCATGGCATGACACCATCTTTTTAATATCAGTCGTTCAAGATTGGATCGTGATGATCCATCTTCTTCACATTTTCATCCCTAGGATTCTCATAGAAGTGCTCAAGTTTCCGATCCTTCACTTTGAAAATATTGCCGGGATTGAATATTCGTATTTTCGTCGCTTCATGTTGTGAGAGAGGGGGGGGGGGGGGGGGGGGGGGGGGGGGGGGGGGGGGGGGGGGGAATATTTCCTGTTTAATATGGTAAATGGAAAGGGTTTTGATCCCTCACATTTGGTAAAGATTTCAAAGATGTCGTTGTTCTTTTTAATTTTTTGGATTTCCCTCAAAGATTCCAAAAACGGTGGGTGTACCTCAAAGGATGACAAGGATAGAAATTTAACTTTGGGGTTTAGCTCATCCTCTTCTTCTACTAGATGGAGCTCTGTGTCTATTTCTTCTTCATGTGGATTTTGCGCATGCTTTTGCAATTTTTTTCATTCATTAACGTGACTGCCAATACTTGTTGTTTAAGACCCTGTTCTCTTTGAGAGGGAAGTTTGCTAAAGTCTTTTACTTCTCATTCACTCTCAACACTTAGCATTTGGTTCACTTGATTCTCCCAGTTTTGTTCGTTGCACCTTTTTTCTTGCGGAAATGGTGCCATCTTCCGCTACATATTTGTAACGTTAATAGTGAGAGCTCGGATCATGTCTTCAGTGGACATGATAGAATAAGAATTCGAGTACAGTGATCTTTCCTTCCTGTGTTATATGTGTTGGACAATGGATCATATTTTCTTTCAAATATTTTCCCTTGGAAAGCAAAATCATAATTTTATTCAGAGTATTCTTCTTAGAGCTTCAGACAAAAATCCTTAAGATGCCTATGAGACATGCAAATGTTGCAGGCCTTGACATCTTGACCTTCTGAACATAAGATAAACTCTTTTATTAAAGAAGTCAAGATGGAAATTTTATTTTCTAGATATGATGTGTTGGTATCCATGTCAACACCTTCTTCAAAATTGTTAGAAATTGGTTCACATATGTTTTGTTTTTCGAAATTTATTTCTCATAAATTTTTACAATATACTCAAACAAAGCTCAGAAAAGAACAGAAAGATCTTTTGAAATTTATTTCTCATAGATTTTTTGTTTGTTTTTTATTTTTGTTTTATTGATTTTCTGAATTAAAAGAAAATTAATTGCCTCTCCCCGGCAATGGTGCCAAATTTGACGGCACTAAAGTCGTTGTGTTGCTCAAAATAAATTCAATACTAGCACTTATACGTAGTATAGCGTAGTAAGGTTCGTATCCACAGAAAAAAGAATACTTTTCTCTTATGAAACTAGTAGTAACAAGGGGGGTTTTTGGGATTATGTGATTTGATTTAATTCAACACTAAGATGAACGACTTACATGTGTTTTATTTAATTCAAGAGATAAAGAACTTGGTTTTGGTACTTTCCATTTGTTGATATGTTTGGTCGATCCCAGATATATCTTTAACTTAGCCCCTCTCGAATACTCAATCGAGTAGTATCTCCAATTCATCGAGGGTAGTTATTAATAAAAATTGTTCATTAACAACCCTTACTATTAATCAAATATAGAACAACGTCGGATACCGATTTAATAGTAGCATTTAATCTTTTTAACTCTTTGATGAAATCAATTGAGATTGATAACCTCAACACAACTGTTTAGGTTTAACCATCAAAATTGACCCCTCTTAAGTTTATTAACCATGACCGTGCATTAATAAACCGAAGTTACTTACTTAGGAAACTATCAACGATTAATCATTGTTTCGTTGATCGTTACTAGTAATAATTAATGTTGAAGCGTTAATTAATTCTCACTTAGTAACACCCCAACATTAATATAGAAATAAGATTAAGGGAAGAATTAATATTCAAGAGAAGAAGTTAAGAAAATAACTCACAACTTTAACATTCAACAAACTCCAAGAGCAAAACCAACAAAAGAAAGTTAAGCTACTCATTTGGAGACTAAGCATGCTAGAAAATTATAAAGAAAAAGCTATTCTAAACTGAGCTTAAGAGTATGGAAGAAGGAATATCAAAATGGTAAGAAAAAGAGGTGTATTTATAGGTGTTTTGGTGATGTTGGGTCTAATACCCGACTGGGTATAGAGGATACCCAACCAGGTATCTATGGCAATATCCATGAAAGTGCTGAAATCTAGTCATACCCAACCAGGTATATGACCAAATCTAATTTTCTCAGGTTTTCTTGCTTTATTGGATCTTATAAATCTTCGGGTCAAGTAATACCCGATCGGGTATTGAAAATACCTGATCGGGTATGACACCAAATCACATTATTTTGCATGATTTCTTACTCTCTTGCACCTTCCTTGGATATTGTAAGATCTTTTCCATGACCCTTTCTTGTTCATTGACTCATTCTTGCTCAGAATGATTTTAAATTTACTAAATTACAACAAACTAGAAAAATAAAATCATTTCACCGCAAATGTGCAATTAGCACAACATCACACCGTGAAAACTAATTAAAAATAAAAATATAAAAACTCAAAAATAAATGCAATCAAGTTTGATATTGAATTGTTGTGTTTCCTATTATGATATGTAGGTGTGAGTGTTGCTGCCATATTATTGCTTTTAGTCATCTTCGCCATATATGGGGGATTGAGGAAGAGGAGGCTCACAAAACTTAGAGAGCATTTTTTCCATCAAAACGGTGGCATATTGTTACAACAACAAATAGCTGAAAAAGGAGGACCAAATGATGCAAGAATGAAAATCTTCACACGAGGAGATCTTGAGAAAGCGACAAACAATTTTGATGAAAAAACAATATTAGGTCAAGGAGGATATGGAACAGTTTACAAAGGTGTACTCACTGATAGGACTGTGGTGGCCATAAAAAAGTCCAAGATTTGTGAGAAAAGTCAAGTTGAACAATTCATTAACGAGGTCGTTGTTCTCTCGCAAATCAAACATAGAAATATTGTCCAGCTCTTCGGTTGTTGTTTAGAGACAGAAGTTCCATTACTAGTCTATGAGTTTATAACTAATGGCACTCTCTATGAGCATCTCCACACACATGCTCAATCACCTATTCTGTCATGGGCAGCTCGCTTAAGAGTGGCATCAGAATCTACAGGAGCGCTATCATATTTACACTCTGCCGCTTCTCCCACAATCATTCACAGAGATGTAAAGACAGCAAATATACTACTAGATGATAAATTTACCGCAAAGGTTGGTGACTTTGGAGCTTCAAGACTTGTCCCTCTTGATCGGACTCAAGTCACAACTTTAGTGCAAGGAACGTTCGGATATCTTGACCCGGAATACTTCCACACAGGCCAATTGACAGATAAAAGTGATGTTTTCAGTTTTGGAGTTGTTCTCGCAGAGCTATTAACAGGAGAGAAGGCAATTTCACCTACTAGGGAAGATGATGATATGAACCTAGGGGCTTATTTTGTATCTTCTTTGAACAATGGCCATTTGTCCCTAATTGTGGATAATCGGATTGTTAACGATGTCAACTTTGAGCAATTTACTGAAGTTGCAAAAATTGCAAGCCGGTGTTTGAAGGTGAGGAGGGATGATAGGCCGACTATGAAAGAAGTAGCAATGGAGATAGAGGGATTGAGAGTTCTTGAGAGGCAACCAGGGGGATTAGGGGAAAATGAATTGTATTCAAAAGAGACTAAGTATCTTCCAGCGTCTATGTCTTCTCACACAGTTAATAATGTCAAAGAGTCGTTCATCAATGGTGGTAAAATGAGTGATGGAGAAAGCAAGGAGTTGTTTTCTGGGTCATTGATTGATGGAAGATGACTGTAATTTGTTCTCGATTTTCTCTATTGCTGAATTTGTTTTTTTTTGCTAGCTATAACTGACCTTTGCCAGCTTGTCTTTTCTTATTCTACAAAATTATTTGACATCTAATAATTAATTAATTTGTACTCCGTAACTACAAAAAAGTTTGTTAACTCTAAAAATTATACTCTCTTTGTAATTCATAACGGTCGAAATTTAGTCTGATTTGGTATGGTCTATTTGACTCTAAAGCGGTCTTGTTTGGTGTTGTCTGTTTAATTTTAAGTGATCGGTCTGAGACTGAAATCAGTCCAACTCTAAAGCGGTATGTTTCTTATAGATTGGAATTGAACTTGGAAGCAGGACCCTTCGGTTAAACAAGGTTTTCTTAGATGGTGGTTTAGGAGTAACTCTAAAACTATGGATGAAATTTAAAGAGAAATGATCCTAAATAGGAGCTTAAGTTTCTCTATGTAATTAAATAAGACTTTGACTTTTTTAACTCCTAATTAGGATCTAATTTTAAGAAGCTTCCAAAATTACCCCTACTTCTTAATTTAACACGCACGCTTGTGTTTTCCGTTATTTTCTTTCACCTTCATCGAACTTCAGCTTCCTAGCGCGTCCAGTTCAAGGCCGGATGTTGTAATCTTTTGAGAAATTAATTTTCATTAATCAAACCATAAGTAAATGCTTTACAACCAATTTGATCAATCGGCAAAGATGAACATTAACCAAATGCGAGCATAACCCTTCTACGGTTTCCACCCAACCCTTCCAAAAAAATCCATTTACCTCCCTTCTTGTTTGCTTGATTAATTCTTTTACTCCAATTTTAGATGAAGTCTCACGCTCGCACTCCAGCAATACTTACCCTTTATCATGAAGAAGAGGATGATGGTGGTGCAAATAGATGTGAGAGACCATAGAAAAAGCAGCGGAGAATTATGCCGCAGTGCCGCCATGGTGAGTCGGTGATGCGGCGATGGCTCCTCGGTGCCAGCGACGGTGGATGGCGGAAGAAATCCATTCTCCTCCTCCCATTTCTTCTTCGTCTGCTCTTTTCCTCTTTTCTACCGCCGATCTCGTAGCTTAATTTTTCCTCCGGTCATTTGGTTCTCCTTTTTTTGCCGACAGATCTGGTAGAGAGCTCTTTGATAAGAGACTTTTTCTCCATAAAATCAAGCCATCAATATTATATTAAAATTGAAAAGAGTAAATCACTAAATTTATCAAAATCAAATAGTAGTTAACTGTCATTGTTAATATCACATTTCAATATTTATTCTGATATGTCTTTACCACTAAATTGGCTCTGCTAACCATTTAGTTGTTATTACAAATAGGCAAATAGCTGCTATGTCTTGGACTAATGCAGAGGGTAGTTATTCCATTTAATGTATGCATCACTGAGTTTTTGTTTTGCACCAAAACTATTCGATGAAATGTCTATGTGAAAAAAATCTCCGTGTTTTACATTTTTAGTTGTGAAAAATCATGGGAAGCATATTTAAAGTGCATGAACGAGTGAGCTGATAATGTCCAGGCTACATTGACATCGTCACGGCAATGTCATTGGCATTGTCACGACAATGTCATTGTCATTGTCACTGTAAGAACTCGAATCCAGCTCAGGTCTCAACCACTTTCATCCACAAAGGATGAATTTCACACACTAGGATCAACAAGGGGAGAGAGGGGCGTCAGCCAGCAGCTATTTCCGGCCAGTTCGTAGGAGCACCCACAGAGAGGCAGTAATCAGAGAAGCAAGGGTTTCGGCCAGCCCTAATTGCAGCGGGCAAGAGAGATTAAATAGGCTAAGCTCAAAACTCAAACATGGTAACTTACCATACAGGTTGAAACCGAAGGCTCTGGCGAAGCGGAAGAGAACGACACACAAGGAAAGCGGTGCGGAAGAAAGAATAAAGACATGGGCCAAGGATAATCTCAAATGAACTGGGCTTAGGGAAAGAACCAGGCCAATACCTAACACATTCTCCACCTTATTGGACCATAGTGGTTTAGAGTCAAAGCTCTAACACAAATTTGAGACTCATCATCGCTGGATTGCCCGAATGATCACAAAGACACATTCAGGCAAAGGGGTAAGATCACCAGGCAACTTAACCGCAATCAATGTTTAACGTGCGCTTGCACGACAACAACTTTTCGACAGAGTGACATTTAGTCCCCATGTCAGCAGGATTAAATTCAGATGGAATTTTAATCAACTTGATATCACCTGCACTAACAATATCACGTATAAAATGAAATCTAACATCAATATGCTTAGTTCTATCATGAAAAATAGGGTTTTTGCACAGTTGAATAGCAGATTGACTATCAGAAAACACACAAATATCCTGATTACGACTACCAATCTCCGTTAGGAGACGTTTAAGCCAAATGGCTTCCTTGAAAGCTTCGGTAGCGGCCACATACTCAGACTCAGTAGTGGAAAGGGCAACTATGGGTTGAAGTTGAGACTTCCAACTAATGCAAGACCCGCAATGGGTAAACACATAAGAGGTAGTGGATTTCCTATTGTCTCTATCGTTAGCAAAATTCGAGTCCACATACCCACTCAACTTAACACCCTCAGAACACCTAGTGAAAACCAACCCATGATTAACAGTAGATTTCAAGTACCTAAGCAACCACTTAAGAGCATTCCAATGAGGTAAACCAGGATTAGACATATACCTACTCAAACAACTAACAGCATAGGCAATGTCGGGTCTAGTACTCACCATGAGGTACATCACGGACCCAATAACATTGGAATAAGGCACAGATTTCATTTTAGCAATTTCAGGAGCAGTCTTGGGAGACTGATCCTTACTTAACACAAAGTGGGACGCCAAAGGGATAGAGACGGTAGTAGCAGAATGCATGTTATATTTACTCAAAATCTTTTCAATGTATGAAATCTGATTGAGTACTAACACACGCTGATGAGCACTTTGTCACGGTGCGTCAAAATAAATTCAATACTAAACACTTATACGTAGTATAGCGTAGTAGAGTTCGTATCCACAGGGAAATGAAAATTTCTCTTTTTATGATACTTAGTAAATAAAAGGGGGGATTTGGATTGAGTGATTTAATTTAATTAAGACTAAGATGAACAACCTATATGTGTTTAATTCAAGAATAAAAAGGACTTGGCATGGCTACTTTCCACTTGTTGATATATTTTAGTCGATCATTGTTATATCTATAACTTATTCCCTCTCGAATACTCAATCGGGGAGTATATCCACTTCATCGAGGGTAGTTATTAACAACGACCGTTCATTAATAACCCTTACTATTAATCAAATATAGAACAACGCCTTATATCGATTTAATAGTAGCATTTGATCTTTCTAACTCCTTGATGAAATCAATTGAGATTGATAACCTCAACACAAGCGGTTTCGGTTTAACCAACAAAATTAATCCCTCTTAAGTTTATTAACCACGACCGTGCATTAATAAACCGAAGTTACTTACTTGTGAAACCATCAACGATTAACCATCGGTTCGTTGATCGTTTCTAGTAATAATTAATATATGAAACAAAACTAGTTGATCCTTTAAGTAATGTTCAAAATATTAATATGAAATATGAGTAGGGATTAATTAATATTCAAGGAAGAATATAATTAAAGAAGATGAATCCTACTATAATTAATATCAAGATGTTAACTAATTGTCATCTTAGCAACACTCCCCAACATTAATATAGAGGAAGAAAATACCATTCTAACTAATGTCGAGATGTTAACTAATTGTCATCTTAGCAACACTCCCCAACATTAATATAGGGATGGTATTAAGGAAAGAACTTTTAATTAATATTCAAGGAAAGAAGTTAAGAAAATAACTCACAACTTTAATAATCAACAAGCTTCAAGAGCAACACCAAGAATGGAAGTTTAGCTCCTCATTTGGAGACTAAACATAGCTAGAAAAATATAAAGAAATGCTATTCTAAACCGATCTTAGGAGTATGGAAGAAGAGATTCTTTTTAGAGGAGAAAAAGAGTGCTATTTATAGGTGTTTTTCAACATCTTTGGCCGGGTACCCGACCGGGTCAAGTATTCACCCGACCGGATCCGGTCAAAATCAGATATTTCCCCACGTTCTGGTGATCTTCGGCATGTTAAAGTGTCCGGGTCAAGTCAGACCCGACCGGGTGAGTGCAAAAATTGGATATTCTTCACGTTCGGGTGATCTTTGCACACCGGGTTGTCCCCGGTCACTTCTCACCCGACCGGGTGAGGTAGTGGGCCCGACCGGGCCATGCACTTTCTTTGCATTTTCGTTTTTCACTTCTTACCCGAACGGGTCAAGTGTTATACCCGGTCGAGTATTTGCTCCTGGGCAGTCAAATCTTCTTTTTCTTCACTTCAAAGTCTTCCTTTCCAACACCACAAATCCTAACTAAACTTTACAACTTACAAATAAAGACTAAAATACAATTACAACTGAAATTACATAAATGTTTACAAACTAAATAAAACGTCAAACAATTAACATAAATCAAACATAAAAACATGTAATTATGCACTACTAATTAGTGTGCATCAAACACCCCCACACTTAAACCTTTACTCGTCTCGAGTAAATCAAATCCGATCCAAGAAGTCCTTAAAATGACAAGAATATCAACACACACATCCACGAGTGTTTTTAGAAACACATAAAGTAAATCCCCCAAAATATAATAGTAAAGAGGGTCTTCAACTCCATATTTCTTTATCAACCTCAACCTTTTTTTTTGTTACCCTTAGGATCTTGCAGAAATAAAAGAAAGTACTTTCTCCCGTTATCTCATTTTGCCTAGGTGCCCTTTCGGGTTTTCATCCCAGCTTCCCACATTTTTCTGTTTTAATCCTCACAACTCACTCTTATTCTTGCTTTATTTTTGCTTAAGTTGCCCTTTCAGGTTTTCAACTTAACAAGCTTTTATATATTTTTTTTACAAGAATAAAGAGTATGAATGTGAGTATTCCATAAAACTCTCCCCCCAAGCTAATCAAAGCAATGTCCCTAGTGCTTGTGTCTAAGATGAATGTTTTTTTTTGAATACTTTTTGGGAGGTTTTGTTGGTGATTCGTGGGTGTGGAGATGAAAAGGGTGAAGAGGTGATGAATGAAATGGGT